TTGGTCATTGCCAACAAAGCTTTGGCATGCATGTACGCTCACCATAACAAAAAATGACGAAGAAGGTCTCAGTTCCTCTAGAACCTTAAGACTCTGAGACGACAAAGCCCACTACATGGCTGAAAGACTGGAAGACTGAGACTCTGTCAATCCAGTTGCAAAATCGGTTCCTTTTCCCTTTCCGGTGGCGTTTCATATTTTGAGAACATAATGTATATGAAAATCGTAAAAATTTTATCTGTGAAGTATCTTATACCAAGAATTGTCAAGCATAATTTTGCTGCTCTAGTCTTTCCCTTATCATTAACTCATAAAAGCTGAACTTGATTGTATGATTATTCAAAGTATTAGCATTTACTAAAATATAAAACTTACTTAAAATATAAGTTCCAATATTCAACTCTTAAAACTTGTTGTTAAAATTTCTAAGTTTGCTTTTCATATTTTGAGAACATAATGTATATGAAAATCCTAAAAATTTTATCTGTGAAGCATCTTATACCAAGAATTCTCAAGCATAATTTTGCTGCTCTAGTCTTTCCCCTATCATTAACTCATAAAATCTGAACTTGATTGTATGATTATTCAAAGTATTGGCATTTACTAAAATATAAAACTTACTTATGATTTAAGTTTCAATATTCAACTCTTAAAACTGGTTGTTAAAACTTCCAAGTTTGATTAAATTCATAATTAAGAGCTGGTTTTGGCAACTGAAGACAGAAATGTTTAATAAAATAAGTTCCTTGATCTAAATTTGCTAACTTAATACTTAAAAAAAACTAAACGAACTCTACATGTTGGTTTCTGGAATCTGTAGACCACTAATTCTTAGGGCCACATGGTGGCCTGCTACTGGCTAGAATTTAAGGGTAAAGAAAATTTCTACACCAGTTGTTGTGGGAGAACTGAACCCGTATAAAACATGATATACAAGTAAAAGCAGGCTTACCTGGTCTTGGGTAGTCTATCCCAATTATGCAGTTTGCTTTTTTCTGAATGCTTAGTGGGGCAGTCCAAGGCTCGTATATGTACTCATTCGGCATGTCTGAAACCGAAAGTATTCTCTACTGAGATGCCATAAAGCATAAGGATCATCGCAGTGGAGCACAACTTACTTACTTTTCAACACTGGGAGAAAATGTCGAATGTACTTTCCAGTAGGATCATACTTTCTACCAAAAGAGATGGGGGAATAGATACGATGATACTGTTAAGCAAGAGTGATAAATGAGAGTTAAAAGGTTGTTAAATCTGAAATGTGATGTACCTAGCAGACTGTACTGTCTCTATGAGTTCAAGACTACTTACCTGGTAAAAGAAGGAAGAACATGAGAGCCACAACCAATTACCATTATTTATGGCCCAGTCTGAGTCAATCAATAGCCTCTCAAAGACATCACGCCCCTTCTCCCAGTGAAGAAACTACAAGGCAAATGATATCATTTATACTTTCTTATAGATTCATTACAAAAAAGAGGGCTTATGGCATGTTGCATGCTATTTTATTCTGAAAGAATTTTAGGTATGGATCACTATCATATAAGCAATACCAATCTTCCGTAACACAAAGAATAGAATAATGTGTCGTCTCTACTTAAGATTGTTGAGGCTTGAGCTTCTATGTTTCCGAATGCTCACATCAAAACTGTGCCAGATTCCTATACTTCGAAAAATAAATTTTGAAAGAAGTTTGTGACTAGTATGGTGTTCTTTTTACGCCTTATGCTGTGCCTCAGAGAATTTGTTTAATCTCAGAAATTGAGAAAAAGGAAGATATCCTAACCAAATTGTCTTATAGAAATCGGCATACAGTTCCATCTATGCAACATGAACAGAAGGACAAATTTTCCTAAGTAAGAATAAGTTGTTTTGATATAGTAAAGATTTTTTGTCGAGCAGCAAATACTAAAAAGCAGGAGAATTAACTTTTAGGTTTAGTTATTAAGTTAATTAGGAGAGAGGTCATACCAGATCACCACGTGTCAAAAAACACCCACTCTTTAAGCTAATTCCAAAAGAATAAATAATAAGGTTCAGATTGGCATGACAAGGAATGAGAAAATATATACACGACTCAAGTGCTTCAATGCAACAATTTTACACAAATCAAAGAAAACTGATTAATAACACTAGAAGAACCTGGATCATGATGGCATCAATCCAAGGATAACCAGTCCTGCCCTCTCGCCAAGCTGCAAATAGTTCTTCATCATCTCTCCAAGGAATCTATAAATTTAGTAATGCACTAATTTGTTAGGGAAATAGTGAAATAGAAACTTACGCAGCTAGTAATGAATCAAAAGAAATAAATAGTCCTTTTGGACCAGAGAACATTGGAAACCAGTTATATATATCAGAAGTTTCAGGATGTTAGCACCAGATGATCAAGAAAGAAAGAACTTGACTTACTGTTGTTATATTGTTATTTGTCGTGAAAGCAAAAGTTAAGTTATTTAGGTAATATGCAATAGGCAAGTTAAATAACAGAAGAGAAGAGTTCCAGGACCAAAGATTTAGTGCTCGGAAATAACATGTCAAAAGGGAGACCTTGCTCATTCTATTAAACATCATTACAACAATGAGCAATCAACCAAATTAATGAAACTCAGTACACATACCCTCATACCAAGACTGTCAGATGTATTCTTTGCATGTATGAATCAGCAATTCTTCAAGGTACTGAAAATCTTTAGTTGAGAATGCAGGTTGAAATGAGAAAGGTAGCACTAGGAAATTTGCAGGTATTATCTAAAATGCAGACTGAACGTGATGGTCACTCTTGACTAAATCATGCCCCTTTAACACCTATTTGGTAGTTGCGTCAAATACTCAAAGGCAAGTAACTAGGAAATATTAAAATTATTGCCAACATAAACAGAAGCCTGGGTGTCGGTTATCAAGTGGCGCTGTGCTTATTCTAAACAGAAGTTCTAAATCTTTTAAGCAAAGTCACGAATATTTTTCCTTGTGTACCTGTTTGCAGATTTTGTTTCCCCTCATCTTATCAAAATTAGGAGTTCCAAAGGCTGCAGTGTAGAAAAACTCCCGCCATAATAACTGCCAGCAGATAGTTTTGTCATCTTTTTCAACATCCTTCAGCCAACTATGGTAGAACAAATGAAACTAACCTGCCCAACAAGTGAAACCGGTGGAGATGTGTGCTTCTTGCTGGTCCTATAAACTTCAATAAGGCAGTGATAGAAGTACCTTGAAGAAAGACATCCAAACTGCAAAATAATGACTCAAATAAACTCAAACCAATATATGAAGCTATAGCATAATACTGCTAGAACTCACTTTTAAACATAATCTAGAGTAAGGATATATAAAGCTACGGCATAATACTGCTAGGACTCACTTTTAAATATGGTGACAATATGGTAGTTGCTGGCTTCAGAAATGCAGAAGGATCGCCTTTTGGTTTCTCAAAATTAGCTACCCACTCCTGCAAGAAACAAAGAAGGAACATCTATCGACAGACAAAGACAGGATGGATATACATAGAACTAGCTACCTTTTCATGATGATAAAATTTGATATCCGTGAACAACTATAAAAAACCATCTCGTTTTCATTTATAGAAAAACTACTATACGTACTTATGAAGAATGTGATTGGCTGGTACCCTTCTTTTTATTTTCAAGTGATATTGCTCTGGAAACCCAGCCGATGCAGAAAGTACATGTCGCTCAGAGGTACATATAATATTTGCATTGTCACCTAATATAATTAGTCTTACAATAAGTAGGGATCTTTTGTTGCAGGTCAGGAAGGAAGAGTAAATGTTCAACGATGTAACAATTACTGAAATCCCTCCGCATTCTTAAGTACCATCTGTAATAGTATAGTATTTATTGTCTAAGGCTCTAGTTTTCATTTCCTAAGGCAACAGAACAAGTGTGGGATTTCACAAATTCTGTTCCCATCGTTGAACATTTACTCTTAAGTACCATCTGTAATAGTATAGTATTTATTGTCTAAGGCTCTAGTTTTCATTTCCTAAGGCAACAGAACAAGTGTGGGATTTCACAAATTCTGTTCCCATTCATTTGGATTAATCTATAACTATTAAATACTTCAGAGCCAATAATACAAGTGATTTACTTCTACACCCCCCCCCCCCCGGCCGCCCCAAACCCCCGCACATCGCCCCAACCCCCCGCCCCCACAAATAAAAGAGCCTCAACTTGGGCCAGCAATATGGTTTCACCACCATACATAAAGAAGATAATGGTAACAGACCTTGTCGTCAATGGATTTCTTCAATCTTTCCAGAGCTTCCGATTCACCTCCTCGAAAGGGGGAAAATTTTTCCTACAGCTCAAAGAGAGGTCATAAGGGAATAAAACTTACAAGAAACATCATAGAATTTCTCATAATGAGCTCCACACCTGCTTTACATCTCCGTACCCAAGTTCTTGAATTGTTGGAATATTTAATACTTCATATCCCCTAAGGTCACCAATTGGAGGAAGCACAGAATATGTATGGGTAAGTGGAGTTGGTGGCTCCCCAGCAAGCGCCACAAATGATTGATAAGTCAAAGGTGGCTTTCCCCTATTCTTTGGGGTACAAAAACAAAAGATGAACAAATGTCATGCCTCATGAGCAAGTACTAAAATTGTGTGAAAACAGTCAATTAACTAATTGCAGTAAGCAAACTACGTTACTCTCTATCATGTACTTTTCATCACTGTCCTGTTAACAGTGACCATCAGACTAGATTTTGATTGAGATCAAATATCTTTCTTTTAATCTTAGAAAATAACAGTATAGCAAATACAGACTTACCTTCTCTATGTTTCAGCAGGACTGAAAAGTGTTGTGCGCTAATCTTGGAGAAAACACCTTGATTCCACATGCAGAAGCAAAATCCTTCAGACAAATGCACAATAAGCAAAAGTCCTTTGTATGTTAGTTTCAGAAAATAAGGCTAGAATTATATAAATTGAAGGTGAACACCTTGAAAATAACAATTTGTAGAATACAGATGGAGAAAAATAAGTTAGAAATTACCACCTTCACTTTGTTATCACGGGCTAGTGAATATGGCTCAGTATCAAATTCAAAGCAAAGCTTCCCAATGTCCCACTAGAAAAAACCACAAACTGATCATTGTATTGTATACACTTGAAAATTAAACACCCTACAAATTATGATATTTTCATGTTACAATAAAAAGCCAAAGCAAACAATTTGACACGTCGATTCCAACATACATTCATTTGAAAGATATCTAATTCACATGAAAAGATAGACAAAATGGGATAAGTCTAGTGAACAGAGTATCTTCATCAAATTCCTCAAGAAAAATCAATTCTTTGTTTACAATCCAAATAGTCATCTAAAAGATGAATTAAGGATACATAAGGATACACTCAACACAGACTGTCTAAATAGAATAATGAATTTTTGGGTATCTTTATTTCAATTTGATATTTTATTCAGGCTGAGATTCTTATCCTGTGAAAACGGCGAAGGAATTGTGAAAAATGTGAAGAATAACCCAAAACAGACTCCACCACACCCTGGTGTAGTGTCTGCCATGGGTGTGGTAGAATCTGTCCTGCACCACACCCTCTGCCACATCCACGGTGCAGGGTGTGGCAGAATCTGTCCTGCACCACACCCTCTGCCACACCCATGGTGCAGGGTGTGGCAGACTCGTTTTTAGAATCCTCCTTTGTATGGGAATCCTCCTTTGTTTGGGATTGTGTTTTATTATAAATAGGACCACGTTTTTTAGGGTTTCTTAAGGAGAGAAAAGGAGAGAATTAGCATTGTTTTGAGCACTTTGAGAGGGAGATATTGTGAGGGAGTTGAGAGCTTTGGTTAGGGTTATATTTGAGTGATTTTGTGAGTTGTAACCCGTTGTATTTCTCCTCCATATAGTGAAATCTCCCCATCCTCTCCCCGTGGACATAGGCAATTGCCGAACCACGTATATCTCTGTGTTTGGTTTGATTTGTCGTAATTGGCTTGGTTTGTGCAAGTGTGTGGCTTTCTTCTTCCGTGATCTCAAGTTCGTTGTGTGTGCGTGCAACGCTTCCGTATAGGCGCGCGACAAGTGGTATCAGAGCTCAGATTTCAGATCTGGGGTTTTGGGTTAGGTGGAGGAAGATTCAGTTGGAAGCTTGGTTCTTGGAGTTCTAGGCTTTGGTGGAGTTAGGGTTTGAAGTTGCCGTTGAAGATCTCGCTTTCCTCGTGTGGTTAGGAGTTCTATTTGGAATCCAATCTAGGGTTCAGTTGGGTAATTTCTTATTCTTTCAAAGTTTGGATCTTTCTCTACAATTTGGAAGTTGTGATTATGGGTGAAGTAATTGGTGAAAGCAGCAAGATGACAGGCACAGTTCAAGTGGGTTTTCAGAACACTAAGATTAGTGTTGTGAAATATGACGGCAAGATCAATTTTGGTTTGTGGATGAGCGACGTACAGGATGCGCTCAATGCTCAAAATCTGGAGGAGACCATCATGGTCGATGTGAGGCCACCTAAATATGAAGAGGCGATATGGGAAAAGATGAATCGAAATGCTTGCGGGGTGATCAGGTCCTGTTTGGAACAGGAGCTGAAATACGATGTGATTGGGGTGACGTCTGCGATGAAGATGTGGGAAATTCTCAACAATAAGTACCTTACGAAGAGTGTTGAGAACCGGTTGCACTTGCTGCGAAGGTTATTCAGATTCCAGATGTCCAGAGGTACCTCGCTTGCGGCTCATGTGAACAACTACACTAAGTTGTTGTCGGACTTGGCGAACGTGGATGAGAAGATCACAGATGAGTACAAGGCTATTATTCTTTTGGGCTCCTTACCGGATGAGAAGTATGATACCTTCGTGCTTATGTTGCTGAACGGGAGATCTTCTATCACTTATAGTGAAGTGACTAACGCATTGACGAACTATGATTTGAGGAGGAAGGATAAGGAGACTTCCCGCGCTAGTATTTCAGGAGAGGCCTTATCGACGAGAGGTAGAAGCTCATATCAGAAAGGTGAAAATAGAGGGAGGTCAAAGTCAAGAGGTCGTCACCAGCTTGGAAAGAACCAATGTGCATTCTGCAAAGAACAAGGACATTGGAAGAGAGACTGCCCGAAAGTCAAAGAAAAGGAGAATAGCAAGAATAAGGGCCCGAAGGCCAATGAGGTGAATGTTGCGAAAGGCGATGATTCCGATGATTCGAGCTTTTCTCTTTTGATTACTCTGGAGGTGAACCATTTGGATGCATCGGAGAGCTTTTCTCTTTTGATTACTCCGGAGGTGAACCATTTGGATGCATCGGAGTGGATGCTTGATTCTGGCGCTACTTATCATGTGACTCCTAGGCGAGATTGGTTTTCATCATTTGAGAGACTCGATGGGGGTGTTGTTGTCATGGGAAATGATCAATTCTGCGGCGTTTGTGGGATAGGTACTGTGAGGATCCGGATGCACGATGGAGTAGTCCGTGAGTTAAAGGAGGTGAGATTCGTTCCTCAACTTAAGAAGAATCTTATCTCAGTTGGGGCTTTGGAGGCGAAGGGATTCAGGGTGACCTTTGAGGATGCTGTAGCGAAGGTTACTAAGGGATCTTTGGTGGTGATGAAGGGAGTCCGCAGTCATAATTTATATTATCTGAAGGGGAGCATCGAGATTGGCCAGGTTGCTTCGGCTATTTCAGAGACGGACATGAGCAGACTTTGGCATTACAGGTTAGGACACACAGGAGAGAAGTCACTGCAGGCTTTGTGCAAGCAGGGGCTATTGAAGGGAGCCAAGAGTGGAAAGATTGAGTTCTGTGAGCACTGTGTTCTTGGCAAGAAGACGAAGGTGAAGTTCGGGACGGTCATTCATAGGACGAGGGTGGGGTCCCACTAAGACGGCATCACTTGGTGGTCGACATTGGTTCGTTACATTTGTTGATGACTATTCTAGGCGTTGTTGGGTGTACACCATGAAGCATAAGAGTGAAGTCCTAGATTTGTTTGTGGAGTGGAAGAAGAGATTGGAACTGCAGACTGGGAGAAAGATCAAGACGTTGCGATCCGACAACGGCGGCGAGTATACTTCAGACCCCTTTCAGCAGCTATGTCGAGACGAGGGCATAGAGAGGCACTTCACAGTTAGTCATACACCGCAGCAGAATGGGGTGGCGGAGAGATTGAATCGGTCTTTGCTGGAGAAGATTCGATGTTTATTGGCGCATAGTGGTTTGGAGAAGATCTTTTGGGCTGAGGCACTTTCTTATGCGAGCCACCTCATTAATAGGCTGCCTTCATCTGCGATTGAGGGGAAGACCCCTATGGAGATGTGGTCGGGAGAGACAGCACATGACTATGACCAGCTTAAGGTATTTGGTTGCCCTGCATATTATCATGTTAGAACTGATAAGTTGGAACCTCGAGCTAGGAAGGCCATATTTGTAGGATTCAAGCGTGGTGTCAAGGGATACAAGCTTTGGGATCCAGTTGATAAGAAGATTGTGCTGAGTAGGGACGTCACATTCGATGAGGCTTCTATCTTGAAGCTTCCCAGCTCTCATCAGGTGGAGAGCAACCCGACAGAGGAGATTTCGCAGGTGGTGGAGATTGATGCAGCTCCACAGAGTCCAGATGGTGCAGTATCCATTAGAGTGCCGACTGAGGTGACGCCAGGCGAGCACGACGGTGATGCGGAGGATACGGGTACTCATGAGCAGGATCAGGGACCGACGGCTCAGGTTCAGGATTCTATTGCGGCACGGAGACAGAGGAGAGACATACGAGTGCCAGCACGGTATGCCGACACAGTTGCATATGCACTTCCGGTGGAGAGTATCGATGAGATGGTGCCTACTACATTCAGAGAGGCCGAGCAGAGTTCGGAGGCTGATTCGTGGCAGGTGGCTATGCAGGAGGAGATGGAGTCTCTTCACAAGAACGATACATGGAAGCTTGTAGAGCTTCCAAAGGGGCGGAAGGCGATTGGGTGCAAGTGGGTGTACACGAAGAAGGAGGGCATTGAGGGCACTCCAGTGAGGTTCAAGGCTAGGTTGGTTGCGAAGGGCTATGCACAGGAGGAAGGTATTGATTACAATGAGGTTTTCTCTCCGGTGGTGAAGCATTCTTCGATTCGGATTTTGCTAGCTTTGGTGGCACAGTATTGTTTGGAGTTAGATCAGTTGGATGTGAAGACGGCATTTCTTCATGGTGATCTTGATGAAGAAATATATATGACTCAGCCATTGGGATTCCGAGCTGCAGGGAAAGATAAGTTGGTTTGCAGGTTAAAGAAATCGCTATACGGTTTGAAGCAATCTCCTCGACAGTGGTATAGGCGATTCGATGGTTTTATGCTTGGTCATTCGTACACTCAGAGCCAGTTTGATCCTTGCGTGTATTTTCGCAAGTTGAGAGGAGGTGCGTACATTTATTTGTTGTTTTATAGCGATGACATGTTAGTTGCCTCTAGTTCCAGGTCAGCTATAGATGAGTTGAAAGTTTAATTTTCAAATGAGTTTGAGATGAAGGACTTGGGCGAGGCGAAGCGCATTTTAAGGATGGAGATCGGTAGAGACAAGAAGAAGGGCAAGATTTATTTGACACAGGTGGCTTATTTGAAGAAGGGGGATGGAGATCGGTAGAGACAAGAAGAAGGGCAAGATTTATTTGACACAGGTGGCTTATTTGAAGAAGGTTCTACAGCGATTCCATGTTAGCATGGATACGAAACCAGTTGGTGTACCTTTGGGAGCCCATTTGAAGCTTTCAGCTGGCCTTTCACCGAAGTCAGTTGAAGACCGTGAGTTAATGACGAAGACTCCATATGCGAGCGCAGTTGGGAGCTTAATGTACGCGATGGTATGTACGAGGCCGGATTTGTCACAGGCGGTGAGCATGGTGTCGAGATACATGCACGATCCAAGAGTGGGTCATTGGGATGCCGTGAGATGGATTTTGAGGTACATTCGAGGTACGCTCAATGTTGGTTTGATTTATGAGCGGGACACTACAGGTGGGCAGTTGTGCATTGGATATGTTGATTCGGATTATGCCGGGGATTTGGATAAGCGTCGGTCTACTACGGGATATGTGTTTACTTTAACCCGTCCGCCGGTGTGTTGGAGATGCATCTTACAGTTACGACGGAGGCAGAGTATATGACGATTACGGAGGCTGTCAAGGAGGCTATTTGGCTTCGGGGACTTTGAAGGAACTTGATATATCACAGCGGTCCGTCACTCTTTATTGTGATAGCATGAGCATGAGTGCTATCTATTTGGCGAAGAATCAGGTTTTTCATGCGAGGACGAAGCACATTGACGTTCGTTATCACTTCGTTCGGGATGTTCTTGAAGATGGCGATGTGGAGATTGTGAAAGTCCACACAAAGGATAATCCGGCGGATATGCTCATTAAGGTGGTTCCGAGTAATAAGTTTGATCATTGTCGAAACTTGTTGCACATTCGTGATTGTTGAGGCCGTTGACGGCCATTTGGATGAACTACGGGCGGCTTGATCCCTTGGGAGAGGGGGTACGTAAGCAACCACATTGGTGCAGCCGAGTTTAGAGAGACGACACATTGGTGCTCATGTTGGTGTCGGCTCAGTGTTGGGAACACTTCGCCGAGGTGGAGAATTGTGAAAACGGCGAAGGAATTATGAAAAACGTGAAGAATAACTCAAAACAGACTCCACCACACCCTGGTATGGTGTCTGTCATGGGTGTGGTAGAATCTGTCCTGCACCACACCCTCTGCCACACCCACGGTGCAGGGTGTGGCAGAATCTGTCCTGCACCACACCCTCTGCCACACCCATGGTGCAGGGTGTGGCAGACTCGTTTTTAGAATCCTCCTTTGTATGGGAATCCTCCTTTGTTTGGGATTGTGTTTTATTATAAATAGGACCACGTTTTTTAGGGTTTCTTAAGGAGAGAAAATGAGAGAATTAGCATTGTTTTGAGTACTTTGAGAGGGAGATATTGTGAGGGAGTTGAGAGCTTTGGTTAGGGTTATATTTGAGTGATTTTGTGAGTTGTAACCCGTTGTATTTCTCCTCCATATAGTGAAATCTCCCCATCCTCTCCCCGTGGACGTAGGCAATTGCCGAACCACGTATATCTCTGTGTTTGGTTTGATTTGTCGTAATTGGCTTGGTTTGTGCAAGTGTGTGGTTTTCTTCTTCCGTGATCTCAAGTTCGTTGTGTGTGCGTGCAACGCTTCCGCATAGGCGCACGACATATCCACGGTCTGAATGAACAACTATTTTTCATTTCTGTAACTTTTGTAAAGACTTGGAAACATTTCTGTTTATCAGGTGAAGTCACCATTGCTTGTTTTAAGTGTGTTCATCAAATACTGTCTACTTCTTTCCACTAACAACATGCACTTCACGAACTTGTACTGTTCACTGACGCTCATAATAAAAAGTAGAAATTCGAAAAAATCCAAGCAAAAAAAGAGAATAATTCAAGAACATCAGTTCAACTTACATCCTTCAAGATCCGACACAATACATGAACAGGATCCCCTTTAAGAACAAGAAGCCGCGATCCGAGCTTCTTGAGGCTGGAATCGAGATCGGCGAGGCTCTCGAGCAAGAACTGGATCCGATTCAGTCCAGCGAAAGCGGATCCGGGCGAGAACGCAGACGGATCCGGGTCCAAATACCGCGGATCGAGAACGAAAACGGGGAACAAACGCTTCGATCCTCTGCACGCGTGATCGAGCGCGGGGTTATCGTGGATCCTCAATCCCTTTCGAAACCACATCAAAGCGTTCGATTCCATCTTAATTTTGATTTTGATTTTGATTTTGGTTCTTCTCTTTTTGGAGAATTAGCGGAGAGCTAGGGTTTTAAGAATTTTCCCGCGCCCCGATTAGAGATTTGGGTAGATTTGGACCGTTGCATGAGCATCTAATGGGTAGTATTTGAAAACGTAAGCTAACGGTCGGTGAAGGGTCGAGTTGCGGCCACGTCATTGTGCATTGGGTGGTCAGAAGCTCTTGTAAACGGGTCGGATTCGGGTAATTTACTTACAGCGCCCCGTTCTTTTTCCGAATTTGCAGAACAATTATAATTCTTCTTCTCGCAAATGAGCATACTCAAAACCGAATAGATTCCTAAGCACAACTTTGTGAGCATAAATATATAAAATTATTTATTATCAGGTACTAAAAACTGAAGAAAAGTTAAAATATTGTGTTTTTTCAGTACTATTCCCTTAGGTACCGTTTGACAAAGGGTTAAGTGAGGGGTTAAGGAGACTTAACCCCTTCATAACCTGCCAAACACAACAAATCTATATAAGGGTTAAAGTGAGTTAACCCTCCATAATTTGCCAAACATAAAAAATATAGAAGGGTTAAGTTAACCCCTCTAGAGGGGTTAAAATGAGTTAACCCCTCAAAATGAGGGGTTTACTAATACTCCTATTTAGATGGAATAAGAGTTAACCCTTCTAATTATAAAGAAAATAGTCAAAATCATTGTTATTCCCAAACACTAAAACTGATCATAAGGGCTAAAATAAAACTTATTTAACGGTTTAATAATTTAGTCATTCGGATTATCAAATGGGCTAAGTACATTAATCCTTCTCTTTAACCCCTCTTCATTAACCCTTTGCCAAACGGGGCCTAAATATTTCAAATTTTGAAAGCAGATCCTCAGATGATAGAAATTGCAACTAGGTCCCTTAAGCTATTCTGAATTAGTCCCTCAAATCATAGAAAATGCCATTAGGTCATTCAATTGTTAAGTTATATTGAAATACCTCAAGTCATAGAAATTGTTATTTAAGTCTCCCAGTTCTTAAGTTATTAGTCCCTCAAATCAGTAGTTGTGTTAGTAATCAAAGGGATTAGTTTAAAACAGCTTAGGTTAATTGTGGGATATAATAGAAGTTTAGATGATCTGAGGGACAAATTTATATCCAATTGATGTCTTTAATTACTCTTGACTGGAGGAACTAATTTCAAAATAACTTAAAAGTTGGGAGATCTAACAGCAACTTCAACGATATGAGGGACTAATTCAAAATCCCTAATGAACCGAGGGATAATGGTGATTTCCATGATTCGAGGGACTAACATATGGAAGATTTAAAGGACTAATATAAAAAATCCCTAAAATATATTTGTATTAATTAACATAAATACAGAAAGCCGATCTAGCAATAAACATTTATTTAGCAATAAAAGAAACAAGGTGGAGGAATAGAATAATCTCATTTGGGAAAAAGCTTTCCTAAGTAATTCTAAATCAAAGGGACACAATTTCTTGATTAATGTTTCCCAAAATCCAAAGAAACACCTGAATATAGAATTCACACAATGATGATACGATGGACTCTCTTTAGAGTTTAGACGCAAACTCTATATTTTATACTACTAATAAAGAGATGCTCAATTATGTGCATCGTGCACCCCGTTCTATTTCGTGGCATGATGTATATTGTCTAGGATAATTTTGGAACAAATAAAGAGAAAAGTAATGATAGAAAAACCTTCATAGTATTATAATTACCATTTTGTCATTTCGTTTCAATCCCAATATTGTTTCCGTGTCATTAAGAATGATCTAGAATGCACTTGAAGACTAAAGAGAAGAAGATTAAAGAGGAGAATTTCAAACCAAAATTACAATTTTACCTTTCAAATCACAATTACAAGGAGCAAATGTCCATGACTCTTACAATTTTTTGATTGCCCTCAATTGGTTATTTATATAGTAGTATAGATGGACATCAGCTGAGCCATCAAAGTTCAGTTTGTTTGGACATCAATCTCCATCCACGGACCAAAGCCTCATCCACATCGTGTGAAGCGTAGAGCCACCTCTTATATTTCATCGCTCAGCAACTAGACTTCCGACCATAAGAATCCAAGGTGAAGTCGAAACAATACATCCACCAAAGGCCACCTCATTCCTTTGTAACCTTGTTAAGATTGTTAGGAGGAAATATCCACATTGGAGTTCCTCCACAACCTGGGTCCACGAAGATGTCGAGTGTGCTCTGTAGAGGAAGGCTTTTGCTCGTAGAGCGCCCCCGGCAAACAGACCACAGGCAAGCTTGCACTCTCGGGGCCACCGATAACTGCCATGACCACTTCCACGATTCGTTCATGTTGTCACTACTTTCTGGTTTAATGATCTCATGTGCATCCCCAATTTTAAATTGCTTCCATGGTTACTCCTCCATGTTAAAGTGGTCTTCTTTATAAGCACGCGTAATCTCCCATGATCCATCGTCCTTAACAAACTCCGTGAATTTAGTATCCGTGACAACATACTAAGGATTGATGCAAAATGATCGAATATTACTTATCATATCCGTGTCATCTTACCCATCACACCATCACAACTATGAATATACTGAAAAACTCATATCCATATCAAGCCGGATAAGATCTTCTGATCATAAAAAATTGACCTCAAATTTATTAATATAAAGGCCGACATAATTTAAATTTCCTTCAAATATTCAGATATGGATCAGGATATTTTACACATTCGTAGCTGTTGGATAAACATATCTAATATCCATCTCTGTATCCAATTGGTCAAGCATAGGTGTATTTCTGCGGCAATCTTTATCATCCGTATCCATTTTGAGTCAGTACCTAAACTTCAATCTACCTTAGCACACATTTGCATAGGCAAAATCTAGAACTGATGGCAGAGTAATAGAATGAGTAATCTTTCACAAACGTAAACACAAATACATGGAAAAATAGGATAAATCTTGTGTGCGGCTTTCACAAACTCAGCTACATGAAAAAATAGGATAATCTCACTTGCAAACATCCAAAGTAATTCAGAAATAAGAGGGACACAGTTACTCAACATAAAGTTTCCCAATAACCAACCGAAATCGAGCTCTAACAATAGTCCTAAACAAAGATTTCATAATGGATTGCAATGTTTCTCGCCACGTCAGAAAGCATTTGAGACGCAAAATGCGACTAAACACAGTATTTTAATACATGGAACGCCTGTAATGGTCTTGTAGCAGGGGAATAGAAAGTCCTTCAATTATCAAATGCATCATCATCGTCATCTGGAAGTGGCTGTGCTGCTGCGGCTGCGATCTCCTGCTCATACCTGAACCATCAGGAAAAAGTGAGCAAATTTCATATCAAATGAACGAAAAGGATGATGTCCAAAGAGCAGAGTGAAAGTCAAAAAAATAGATCCTACAATACCAACTACAATTGCTTAGAAGTAAGCAAAATAATAATTCTATCTAAATAATTAATAGGTTAATAAGAGTCATTTCGAAACTAAGATCAGGCCCTCACAAGATGGACTTGTTAACACAACACCTAAAAAATAGATTGTTTTACAGTCCAACAAAGAATAGGGAAGGATCAGGTCCTCATACAAGTGCCCTGACAAGCAAAAAGACTTCTTAGCACAGAAAAAAATAGATGGTTTTTAAAGTTACCTATAAAAGTGCCCTAAAGATGCTCGAGTATAAGATAACAAGTTGCGTAAATGTAGACAATTAAGGTTAGGGTTTTCTTTTTTCATGAAAACCACCTTTAAACTGGCTCGAATCGATAAAAACCACCTTTGGCATTTCTTTGATACTTCAGCACCATACAAGTCCGTTTAGTTTTCAATCAACAACTTCTTGTCAAATTCAGCTCAATCAATATCTTAATTGACCAAATTACCCTCACTAGTTACACGTGTAGCCTAGAAACATGTGTTAGGCACATGTAATTATTGAGGGTTGCTTGGGTTTTTTGGTATTAATTGAGCAAAATTTGACAAAAAGTGATAACTTGAAAACTGAACTCACTTGCAAGGTGGTTACGCATAACAAAACTTCAAAGATGACTTTTATGGATTCGACCTATTTTAAAGGTGGTTTTCATGAACAAAATCCTAAAACTTAAGTTGTAGAATTTTAGGTCATGAAAGTTCACTTTTACCAGTTTCACCTACTATTTTCCACTAGAACATATAATAATGGCTTAATTAATGGTCTTAGCCACTGAGTGGGTCGCACTATTTCCAGTGACAGATATATTCACTTACCTCTGCTGTTGTTCAAGGTCAATATGAACTTCTGGAGGGGCAAGAGCTGGGGATTCAACAAACTGAATATTCGGATCTCTGAAAAAGAGGAATAACATCAGAAGCAAGTACAAAATATTAAACAGCTTATACCATGAAAAGGAAAATCATTTTTACCCTGCAATTTTTCTGGCCAAATAGAGGAATGGCTTTTCAAAGTTATAATTGCTCTTGGCAGAGATCTCATAGTATTGAAGATTCTTCTTCCTGTGAAATGTGACCATCTTTGCCTTAACCTGCCTGTTCTTCACATCAACCTTGTTGCCACATAGGACAATGGGGATGTTCTCACAGACCCTAAATAATACAGCATCAAACAATTAGTTCTGGTCTTGTAGTGAACAGCTGTAGTAGATCATATTGACGACTCCTTAACTAGTAGCATTAAAACCTTGGGACTCACCTGCAGAGATCCCTATGCCATGTGGGCACATTTTTATAAGTAAGGCGTGCAGTAACATCAAACATGATAATGGCACATTGACCATGAATGCTGCAGACATAGAGACACCAGTTAGGATCTGCAATATTTGGCAAATGGCGAAACTAAAACAAGAAGACAGCAAAAATTGATACTGACGTGTGCTAGCTTCAAAAGCTAAAGCTAAAATGTAAATTTATTCCTCAGAAACACTATCCTCTAGGCACTATGCTACTGAACCATACTCATGCACACATTGGCAGAAAGTAACATGTGAGCAAATAAAATAATTTAGAATGTCAAAAACTTATGCAATTACTACAGGAAAACCACTTAGCCAGAAAGAACAGAAAGCTAAAAAGATAGCTAGATAACATCGCCAAAAAACTATTATTCGACCACGATGATCAGCTATAGAATTAAACATGAAGTCAATAACTTTAGCCATTATGTCCACAAACATAGTAACTAAGCACGTAAATCATAATTGCAAACAAACACCATCACTATTAACAGTTGGTTTTCAACAATGACTGGTATCTAGAATTTTTTTGGGAGAAAATACTGTATAATTTAACTATCAAGACAGATCTGCCAGAAACAAAACGGGCTTCATTTCTTTAAAATTGGTAGGGAAAAAAACAACAGAAAATAAAGAAATACATAAAATGGGAGTTCAAGATGAACAAGTCTGAACCTAGCATGATTAACATATACATTGCCCTCCATAATCACTGCAGAAAATATCAAATTATCATTATACACTTGCTATATGTGTATACACTATAGCATGGATACTTCAAGCAATGGAATCAATGGAGTTACAGTATCTCAACTCAAATAACTTGCCCTTGTGAATATGTACAAGTACCATGATACATGTATATTCATTTTAATCTTATGTATACTATACTTGGTAATATAATAATTACTTTTTTCCTTTATATAAAATCAATTGGAAATATTTCCAACCAACAAAAAGATGCGGACAGTTAAAACTAAAACTAAATCATAAAATCAGGTAACCCACCTCTTCTATACCTTTAGAAGGACCTATCAACAACTTATTTCTTAGCACTGTTCACCACTAAACTCATGAAGGGTATCTGCAATTTATTCTTCTGAAAATACCAAACCATTGTTTTTGAAGTGCTACATGCTATGAAGGTATAGATGATGGGGATTAACTGTATCCTAAAAAGTAAACTATATACACAACATATGTCATCATGTGAAGTAAAAATACCCAAAGAAACAACCGATCAACAAAAATGTAATAGGAAAATGTACATAGATCAAAATTATCACACAAAAGATGAAACAATAAACAGCAATTGGTAATATCGGAGAGCATCTTCATACCAAAATATCACATTTTTATAACCGAATATTTCAAACAGGGAAAAAAAAAGATAAAACTAACAAAGGCCAAAAAAACTCACTAATATCCATCTCTGAGCCCACCAAACTTCTCCTGCCCTGCAGTATCCCAGCAATAAAACCTAATCTTTCCACAATTAGTATGGAAATCCAGAGGATGGACCTCAACACCAATAGTCGCTGCACACAAAAAATCAGCAGATCACAAAAATATCCCAAAAACGTACCCTAAATCAAGAAAAATAGAAAGATCCATACGTTCATATTTCTTCTCAAATTCTCCAGTAAGATGCCTCTTCACGAAAGTAGTCTTCCCTGAAACAGATCGAACCGTATCAAACCCTAGATCTCCATTTAGAACCCAAAAAAACCGAAACAAATAAAAACCATCGTCTTAGATCCATCAATCGATCGATCACCTGTGCCTCCGTCTCCTACGATGACCAGCTTGAAGCTAGGGTAATCCACAGTCTGCTGGTTCGGGAGAGCCTACGAGGGATCGAGCAACAAAAACCCTAACCCTAAGAATCAATCGAAACGAGAAATAAAGAATTCGAGAAATTAAAAAAAAAATACCATTTTTATTCCTTTGAACAGGGGCGAGGGTTTTGATCGAGAGAGGAATTGAGAGAATTTGACGGGGGTTTATATAGAGCGTCTCAGCTTTGATCCCACGCGATCATTGAATGAGGGGCTGTGCTTAGGAATAACGCGAGATGCTCAGCCGTTGGATTGAATCCCGCTAAGGACTGTAATTGAATTTGAACCGTACAAGTGGATAGAGCATAGCCGTCGATTTCGTCTGCGTTGAATCTACGCGTCTTTGGTGGACCTTTGTTTGGAAAATCTCAGCCGTTGGCTTGTACGTGTGAGATATACTGTTTGATAAGGAGGCGGTGGGTTGCTTTTTGCATATTTAGTAGGGCCCAGGTTGTTAACGGAACGGATATGGTTCGGATATGACACTTATCATATCCATATCCGCTTTCTATAAACGGATACAAATATGGATACGGATTATCTTCGGTAAGTAAAAACTTTAATCATATCCGCACTCATCGGAAATATATACGGTTTGGATATTTGAGAATCGGATCGGATACGATCACGGATATGAAACGGATATTCAACAAATGGATATGAATCAGATATGACTTAGTACACCTATGTATAAGTTACAACCAATTGGGTAAATGTATGTGGTTGTAGGCTTCTCCTTGCATAAATGTATGTGGTCGCAAATGATAAAAATATAATACAACAATCGCATATACATGTAATATCATCAATTGTACCTGGATTTGATATAAAGTATCTAAGCATTTGCTATAACCAACAAAGCAAAGCATCAAAAGAGCAATTTAGATATGTAATATCATCATTTTAAAACAACTTAATTCACATATAATTAAAATTACTTCAAACAAACACCAAACACAAACAAATAGAACCGCATAATTAGTTCTCTAGAGTTTCAAGCTAACACATCAATGCAAAAGTTAACTAGAATATGACACCAATGGATGCAAGCATAATATCAAATCCCATCATCCGAGTCGTAGATCTCCATGATGTCACCTTGCCAAAAAAAAGAACAATTGTCATGTTAAACATGTAAAAATAAAAATTTCAAATCGTATGCTTATTGAGTCAAATAACATACCTAATGGTGCTTTTACAAAGGTCTCAGCAATCTCCGAGTCATCATCATCCACTATCTTAGCCACATCAAGAACATCATCCTTACTAGTTTGAACTTGTGTAACTACAAAAAAAAGTAGAGAAAAACACATAATCATTAGAAGCATCATTAACCAAAAATAGATAGATAAACTTTGTACAAATTTATTATTTACCTCATTGTTCCGCTTTAATCCAATCTTGTGCGCATATCAATACCTCCACCATATCCGTTGTCATTCGGCTTCTATAACAATGAATTACACGTCCCCTGGTGCTAAATGTGGACTTGGATGCTACGATCGAGGCCGGTATGTCCAAAACATCTCTTACAACTTTTGCTAGTATAGGATACTTCCCAAAGTTGGCTTTCCACCAACTCAATATATCAAATTTCCTCATGTTTTTCATCATCCCATGTGGTAATAATGGTTTCGTCCATATATAAATCTAAATCTGTTTTTGTAGGCTCTTTATCATTTTTTTAACAAATTGAGCAAATCTTTATTTTCTTTTATCACCACCTCTTTCCACTTCTTTTGTTTGAGAGTTTGAATCATTTTCGACATTTTTAGATTCCTCTTTGTCCCTCAATGCATATTATCCATGCATCTTCTTAATGACAACTAAAATATCATTTGTACACTTTTCACCATTCACACCATAAATCAAGCCAAAGAAATATTTGATTGCAATCATTTTGTATCTTGGATCAAGAAAAGTAGGAACCGCAAAAATCTTATTGCATGTGTCACAATATTTATCAAATTTTCTTTTCATTGCAAAAGTCATAGCCACAATTATATCATAATTACTTTTTTAACCACTCTATAAGAAGCAAATGAATTTCACAAAATTCTTCAAACAAAAGATTGCAAGTAGGATAAATAGTGCCAGAGAGGAGTTTTGTTGCATCATAAAAATGTTTTAAACATTTACTCAATGTTTCAATATAATTCCATTCTTCCTCCGATGGACAATAAAGATATTTATCATATCTAAGCTCAAATCTATTAAAAGCAACTTTATACTTTAAAACAATTGTCAACATTAGATAAGTAGAATTCCATCAGGTGCAACAATCAAGAACAATACAATTTTCCTTTTCCATATTAGCTTGTTAACAACAAGATAAAAATTCTCCTCCATTTTTGGTGAATATGTAACATACTTAACACTAAGCTTTACTTTTTCAATAGCTTTAGTGATAAATTTTAAACCCTCTAGAACAATAAGATTAATTATATTTGCTCCACATCTTACATGAAAAAAGACTCTGCTACAAGGTAGCCACTTTTTAAGACGTTCTTTTCCCAATTTCATGACAACATCATTAGCTTTATCATTATCCACCATAATCGATAATATTTTATTATCAATTTTCCACTCAAGCAAACACGAAATTAATACATTGCAAATGTCTTTCCTCATAGAACTATGAACTTTAATAAATCCAATGATACGTTTTTATAGTTTCCACGATTCATCAACAAAGTGAGCGTGATGCACAAATAAGAAAAATTTTATAACGATGATGTCCATTTATCCATTGTTAAACTTAATCTTATAGAAGATTTTGAAAATAATTCCAATAGAAATTTTTTATAATCTTCATTACACAACTTTGTGATATGTGTACGTTTTGGAACCTTGTGATTTGGACAGAGAAAATGCACATACTTGAGGAAAAACTCATGTGTTATAATGTTAAATGAATATTTGTGCATGATTATCGACTTTGCAAGTAAATTTTGACTCTTCTCATTATCAAATTGATAATTACTAAGTGCACAAGTCCCATCTTCATTTTTCATAGTAGCTTGAACCAATTGTTGACGAATATCGGGTCTTTTCTTTTTAGTACATCTCGCAATGTGATTTTTAAGAAGGGAAGTACCCCTGATACTCGCAATAGTTGACGAGGCGAAGAGGAGGCGAGAGATCTGACGACGTGTGGCGAAGACGAGGCAGGCGAAGACGAGGCTGGCGACGGCGAGATCTGATGGTGTGCGGCGAAGACGAGGCGGGCGGTGGGTCTCGTTGTAGAAATTGAGCAGAGACTAGAAAGAGACTGGAGTGGAGGCTAGGGTTTTTTAGTTGGGTTTTGGGTTGGTTAGCGGTTACGGGTTTAGAGCTTTGAATACCTAAATAGACCCGAATTCTTATGTTTATTAAATTACGGATATCCGTATCCGCAACTGAATCTTACATTCATATCCGTATCCGGATCTGTATCCGGAAAAAAGTAACAAGATTCGTATCCAAAATCGTATCCGTCCTGTTTTAAAAATGGCTTACCATATCCGCATCCGTTCAGATACGGATGCGGATCGGTTTGGATAAAACCGAACCGTTTGGCACCCCTAGTTGGGCCACAATGTTCGGCCTGTTAGGAAATGGGGACTATACAATATTAGAAAGGTTGCACACACACACATATATATAAACCCCCCAATATCATGCGTATTTCAAAAACTACCTCCTAAACTGTAAACTTCGAAAAAAATTATTACCCAAATTGACAAATCATTATTATTTTTAGAAATGGTACGTAAAAGACTTGAATATGTTTACAAATTAGCTTACCAAAGTTGATGGTTGTTGATTTGAATGTATTTCCCAAAGTTGATTATTTTGGGATAGTTTTGCAAATATTAAGATTTAGGGAGTAGTTTTGAAAATATGCGTTATTTAAGGGTACAAAATGCATGACTAACTATGAAGCTTGGTTAAAGGATTTGAAGAAGGGAGGTGTGGAGATAGTCATTTTCAATAAGGTCAAGACATTTATAGCATTGAAAGCAGTTTCAAACTAGAAGATCAAATCATGTGCAACTATTGGAGCTCTAGTTACTCATGAGGGATTAAAGTTTGCTTAACATCACAGTATCTCCACCATCTCAATCTATAGCGATTCTTTGAATGTGGTTGAAGAGTTTCACAATTCAAAGGAATCATTAATATAGCGCTCAATTTGACAAGATTTTCTCAATCATATCATATAACTTTGGCTAAATATCATAAAACCCCCCTTACTTTTGATGATTATTAGAAATTCCCTTTAGCTTTTAAACTATCAGATAAGCCCCATTAAGAATCGGGATTACCACAAAAACCTAATAATTGTCCAAAGTTAGGGTGGGGGGAGGAGGGGTTATGATATTTAGCCATAATTTATTAGGAGAGATCAGAATTATGTAGCGCATCGACTAGCTAATATTGCACTAGGCTTTTCATGTTGTAAGTCATGGGTTAGAGAAATCCGAGAGGGTATCACCTCCTTTTTCTCCAACTGATTTGATTAATAAATGTCTTTCCCACTGATTTGATTAATAATTGATTAGTAAAGGTGTCTCCCACTGATTTGATTAATAGAGGTCTTTCGTCCCCAAAAAAAATATGTAATATGCTCATTTCAAAAATCAAGATACAACCCATGATTACAACTCTAGCGTAAGAACCCCTTATACTTGTATACTGTATCATCAAAATACAAAAAAGTTCCCTCAAATTCAGATCACCATAGTGGAGGACAATTCACTACGGACACTAATGGTTGGATGCTGAATATTGAGTACGATTGGGGAACAGCAAATATGCTTAAATGTGATATATGGTCAGGATCTAGGGTCCAACTTTTCAAGCGATGCCAACATCCGTACTATATTAATATTGATTCCACTAACGTAATAAGAAATTTTAAATTTGAAGCAGTAGATCAATGTTGGTTACCCATACTTCTAGATAGAATAGTTTTTATGCACGTGCATTGCACATGATTAAATATCATAATTATTCATTTTTAGTTTATTTTTTTACTAAAATTTGTTTTTCGATTTCGATTTTTGCTCACTTATGTCTCTAAAATTTAATATTGTGATTATTTATCTTCTTTAATATTTGTTTGAGTGGGCTACATGAAAAAACTAATATTTGTTCTTTAATATTTGTTTGAATGGGCTACACGAAAACAACGTGAGGCCAATTTGAATATTCATGTT